GTGACGCCCCCCCGTTCTGATAACAGGATGTGCTCTTTAGCCTAATTAAGCACATTGATTAAAAACTAATGAGTGGAAATTGTAGATTGCCTGTGTGCAGGATAGCTAGAAAAGCCAGAAAAGTCGGAGCAGAAATGTTCTTTTCCACGTTAGGAGAAAGCTATAATCTTCCGCCTCTCGTGCCCCCCCCCCCATTCCTTATATATATAGTACATGACGGAGTTTCTTGTACATGTATATGATTGTATATGATATATCTGGCATATGTATGTTAACAATCATAAAATTTCCTAAAATGTTACCCTTCGGAAAAGCTTCCATTTCTCCATATAATCATGAGGTTAAATCAAACCTGCTTGACACATTGCAAATGCCCCATTGTAATCCTATCGGATATGATCATAATTTACGTAATTTACAAAATACTCCCAAAAATATTTGGGAAAAAAATTATGTTTCTGTGCTTTGTAATGTAATAGAGGGGCAGCGAGTAGGCAAAAATGTGTATAACAGGACACGGCATTGAATTTCAGATATTGCCCCTCCCCCGCACATGAAATGGTACAGTCCGCTGTGGTGACCGCCTATTGTGCCCGCCTCTCGTGCCCTACTCCAGTAATCGCGTCACCCCTTACTCATCGAATGCATGCTTTATTTATTATTGTTCTACAATACCGATACAAATTGATAGGTGCTTGTACGGCGCTTTTGATCCATGCGGTGCAAACTGCAGGGTGCACTTATGAACACGGATAATAGGGGTCGCTTCCAGCAACACCGTACTGACCCCATATTTTCGATGCAGGTTTACTTCATTGGCTGTTTGTTGTATTTTAGACCCTTTCTCACAGCTACCCTGTCCTAAACAACTGCCTGGTTGTGCCGTAGGAATTTTGTATCCATTAAGAATTGATACTATGATAGGAAAACGCTCAGACCACTGGTATGTTTGCTTGTTTGTTTGTTTGTTTGTTTATTTTATAATACCTACCATTATTGAACACTATTGGTGGAAAACAGACATGTTTCTTGCATGTTGTTACTTCTAATATACAATTTTGTGTCCATATTTTCAAACTTCAAACTTGCTAATACAGATTAACAACTTAATTCACTGAGATACTTTTACATTCAAGCTCCAATAACATTATTTGTTCATAAGATACATTGTATTGTATTCTGTTTCTTGTAACTTAACGTTACATCATATCATCATATCACCTTTGATAAGCAACCTTATTACTTATGTGTTGTCTTTGCTTTGCTTTTGTTTGTGTAGATTCAAGGCAAAAAGGAGTGGAGACCATACTCTACGTGAGAATGTCGTTATTATGGTACGGGCAGGAATAACACATTAAATGTTCTGGTAGAGTGTTTGTAGTAGTGCTGGTTTCTACCCTAACTCCAATGTGTTGCTGGAAAATAGTACAAATTGGCCAAACAGGATCATATGCCATAGGGCAGCGGGTTGCAATGTTCATATTATTCAGTCTATTTGCAAATGGCCAGTTTCCACTATTGTCCAGCAACCCATAGGTGTCTGAAAGGGAGTCATCTTGCCCAAGTATGAACCAGGGATATCGTATACAAAACTGTTTATCTAGTTCCATGAATGTCTTAGGGTTAGGACCAGGCACGATTCTGGATAGTTTTTGCGTGTCCAATAATGTAGGTTTGCCCCAGGCACGGTTCTGGAGACGCATGGACCATCCAGAACTGTGCCTGAGCATGGTCATGAATAAGGCATGGTTCTGGATACACGTGGATTATCCAGAACTGTGCCTGAGTCATGAGCAAGGTTCTGGATAAAGCATTGTTCTGGTAATCTCCAAGCAGATCCCAGGGTGGCAAAAGACAGTATCAAATTGGCCAGGCAGTATCCATTCGCCAGAGAGGGTCCAAATGCCACCCAAGGGTGTATGGACATCTTGATACTGCTTTTCCACCCTGGGATCTGCTTGGAGATTATGGTTCTGGATACAACAGTAGATTCTCCACATCTGTTCCTGCAGTTCCGTGTCCCCCAGCAGGAGGTACCTCTGCGTTGCTAGGCCCAGATGCTGTCCGCCACGTTCTCCATCCCCGCCCGGTTCAGCGCTTCCCTCAGCTTCCGGTAGGTGGCGCTGCTGCCCAGCTGGTTCTCCCAGACGTACAGCGACTCGATCACGCCCTCGTACGAGTTGTTCTTCTGACGCATCCCGATGTGCTGGATCTGAGGACAAACAAACAAACAAAAGTGACGTTTTCAAACAAATTTCATTGACCACACTTATATCTGGTATATTCATTGGTCAATACAAACAATGTCAGATTGTTACCAGTGTTTGATATTAGATCATGAAGGATGTAGCGATGTTATCCATCAGTGAACTCTACAATGTATGTACAATCAAGGACATTATACACACATGTGTGTATAATTTCCTTGGTACAATGTATGTTTTTTTCACACAATGATTGAAGTTGATGTGTTCAATCCATGTTTGGTTGTAAGAACTCCTTGATGTAACTGTTGGCACACTTTTAATATGTGCATATTTTGTAAATATAAACATGGGAAGCCACAAGAAATAAAGATGAATCTGCATGAATACTGGTACCAGAAAGAAGAAAGAGAATACAATAGACCAATGTTGTAAAGTTTGCCTTTTTTTTTCTACATGAAATTCCAAGCTCACCTGCCCTTCACTCAGACCCAGGTGCCTCGCGAATCTCCTCCAGTCCAGGGGAGAGACCTCCTGCGCCACTGCCCGGAAATGCTTCCGCAGAACTATAGAAGGGGAAAAAGCTGATTTTTAGACTTTCCATTCCTGACTGTGTCCTATTACCACTTCACATCCACCTCTGTGGAAGGCAGATTAATACGGCTTTCAATCAAATAAAATTCAATCAGTGGAAACGCCAAGAAACAGTTACTCAAGCAACTGGACATGATTTTGGAAACGGTCAGACGTTTCAGCTAGGTAGCAGCCACTACCTAACCTTCTCCTACATATCAATCAGTGGAAGTTTCAGCACCAAGGACAGGGACAATGTTCAATGAGTTATTGAGCTTTTAAAATAAAAAGCATTTGCTGGGGAGGACAGACTTCCTCCACCTTAACCTGCATAACATCAACCCACAGGATAGAGGCTGTGGGATAGAGGCAAGTGGTGAGCGGCCATCAAGCCTCAGCATCAGTGTGCAAGCACATCTAACCCTCGGATGACAGGGAACAATAGACGATAAACCGGGTAGTGAATGAGTGTGAGTTTGCAGACAATACCAGGTGATAAAAACCCCAGGTGATAATAATAATAATCCTAGGTGATACTGACAGGTGATAATAACCTCACCTGTAGCCTCCTCCTTCTGGTCACTGATGGACTTGTTCTCGGCCTCCGGCTCTAGCTCTGGAGGGCAGAAGTAAAGATTACGTTAGTGGTAAGACTTAGGATTTGTGCACATTCCCCACTAGCCGATGCATGTGTAGAAATTACGTTGATGGTAAGACTGAGGATTTGTGCACGTTCCCTGGTGCCAGCTATGACTGTAGAAATTACGTTAAGGGTACAACATAGGATTTGTGCTAGTTCCCTGCTGTCAGAGATGACTGTAGAAATTATGTTGAGGGTAAAATTTTATATTTACACACGTTCCCTGCAATCAGAGACGCCATGCACAATATGCTTTAGGCAGAAAATTTCTTCAATAGGGCGTCACGATTACGTTAATGACATACATGCCGTAACTGAGACGTGCCCTGTGTCCCGTACAGGGTAGATCCAGACGATATCTCGGCAATGTTATGTTCTGTGCGAGTCTTTATATGGTAGTAAACACTGGGAACTGGAGGGGGCGGGGTACTTTCATTTGCGGAACAGGACAAGGCGTTGCTATGATTTCAGGAAGGAGGTTACAAGGCAGAAGCCCAATATAACTTCAGAAATGACTACTAAGTGAAAAGGAGAGAGCAAGAATGCAGGATGAATGAACTCAAGACGTATGTGGAGATATTACAAGAAATAAAACGTAAGGAATAGAATTAGAAAATTATCCTATCAAATAAAGTCGTAACGAAAAGATGGAGAGGAACAATGAGTGTTTGCGACGGTCCCCATGGTGTATGACTCACTCCCGTCTCTCACAATCTCCCGCCAAATCCTCATCATCTCCTCAAGCCGCCATGACGGACTGACCTTCAGCCCACACACGGCCGCTCAAGGTCAAACCTACACTTCCTGTTGTCTTTCAAGACTTCATCAACACTTCTGAAGATCTTTCAAGGTTGTAGATTCTTAGTGCAAAAGCCCGGAAGTCAGATAACCTTGTGATTTTCACTTCCACCCCATATCTGCTTGGAGATAAGAGCCCGGCCTAACAGCTGTTTCCGGTTTGTAAAGCGTGATTTCTAATCGGTGTAACGAGAGGGCGTGGGGTTTATCTCCAAGCAGATGTAGGGTGGGAAGATTTTGATGTTCTCGTGTTTTGGGAAAACTTTTTGGCGCGAGTCCCACACTAGAAGGAACAGCTGATTTGACTCGTCCCCAGATCGATGGTCACGTTCCCAGGGTGCCATTAGCGATCAATGGTAACGCGATGATTCACGGTCAGCATGCCCTAATATGGACATAATTCCTGGAAAACACCGACGGATATGGACAAATATGGACTCATTTTCTCCCACGAAAATCATCTCTCCCGGAAATTGAATGATCATACCGTCTGATCATACAGTATTTATAACAGTTAATGATCTTTTTTCTTTTAACAATCTGGTCTAACTGGTCAATTCAAGTTTGCAAAGCCACCACACTGCATCAATTCTTCGGGTGTGGTTATCGAATCCGTAATCGTGTCTATCTAGTTCTATGCCTAATGGGTTATGGCTAGGATCAGGCACGGTTCTGGATAGTCTCCACGTATCTTGGAACGTAGATTGGCCCCAGGCACGGTTCTGGATTATCTGGTATCTATATATAGTACCTGAGCACGGTTCTGTATAAAGCTCGGTTCTAGATATAACAGTGGCATTTTACGTGAAAAAATGAACGACGCATTTTTATCACCTTGTAGTAATTCCGAAAAGACCACTGCGTGTGGGAAAAGATCGATGGTAATTAGATCAAGTTCAAGTTCGACCTCTACCCAGTCTGATGACGTCACGTCATGTAATCTATTCACATCAATTTCACACACGAAAACAGTTACTCAAGCAACTGGATAGGTTTTGAAAACTGTCAGGTGTTTCAACTAGCATCCTCTACTTTTCGTCAGCGACTAAAGGAATTCGTAGTTGAACAGATATTTGTCCCAAAACAGTGAAATAATGTACACAAGGAATTGTTACTCAAGCAACTGGATAGGTTTTGAAACTGTCAGCATCCAATATTTTCATCAACGTCGTCTATTTTTGCAACAACGGTACGGTTTTCTAGCACTTTTAAACCAGGCGGACGCACATCTACTCTATTATCATAATAGGTTTCAGGTTACGCTACGATATGTTGCAAAAATAAACGCAAAACACAGAGAATGATTATGATCCAAACATCTGCTTGGGGACGACAGATTTACAATACATTACATACACAGGTTTACACGTTGGCTGGTGTCCCTAGCCTCCGTAGCAGGCTTATAGAACTGGGGGTTTGGTGGTCTTCCGCTGTTTTCTGATTAGCCTCCGTAGCAGGCTTATAGAACTGGGGGTTTGGTGGTCTTCGGCTGTTTTCTGATTAGCCTCCGTAGCAGGCTTATAGAACTGGGGGTTTTGGTGGTCTTACGGCTGTTTTCTGATTAGCCTCCGTAGCAGGCTTATAGAACTGGGGGTTTGGTGGTCTTCGACTGTTTTCTGATTAGCCTCCGTAGCAGGCTTATAGAACTGGGGGTTTGGTGGTCTTCGGCTGTTTTCTGATTAGCCCAGTTCTAAGAAAACGGGGGTAATTCAACCAGGCCGGCTATGTTGTCTATATGCAATCAGAAAATAGCACATAAAGACCCTGAAGACCCCCAAAACCCCCAGTTTTTGGCATACTATGGAGACTACAGTGCCCCTAGGTAAGAGCCCGGGTTTTAAGTTACCGCCTCCGCTACCAAACTTTGCCCGGGGCGCCGAATTTCTCTCATTCACGACATAACTGTCATGGCTCTGGAAATGTCACAAGTCTGTAGCCGAAACAGCAGGCTACGCTATTAGCCTCCACCAGGCGGTTAGGGTGGCAAAATGCGGGAAATATAGCGTTTGACTGGCCAGGGCAACGCCAAATCAACTCTATGTTGGCCAGGCTCCGCCCTATTTGGCTAAAATTTACTATTTTTGAACCCGCGTTGAACATCGACCAAACCTTCGTCACGGCCAATGGTTTGTTGTGAACATGTTGCCATTTTAGGCGTCTTTTTGCGACTGTTGTTGCAATCATGACCAGCAATCATGAAACAGAACGTCAGAAAAAATTACGGCTCCGCAAAGCTAGAGGTTATCCCTTCCGCCAACCTACAGCTGAGCGCGATAGTTTAGTAGTTAATCTTCACTGACAAGGTATGAGGTTACTCCATTGGTCCTTAGCTTAGTCTATCCAAGAAGTCGCCCACGTTTTATCATCGCCTTCCCTAAAAACATTCCCGCCTTATCGTAATGGAACATGTAAACACTCCGGGACCAACCCGTAATGCGGGGTTGTTTCTTTACAAAATTTACCATTGCTGGTATCTGTAGTGTGTCGTAGCCCCTCCCTGATCTGATAAACGTACTGTCCCCACAAAACGGCCCATTTTAAACAGAATTTCTTACTTTCCAAGGCAATTTAACACTGTCTTGTACCCACCAAAAGGTCTGCTTGGAGGTTAAAATTTCCCATCAAAACACGCAAACTTTTAAAAGATCGTTCCTCCTAACCCGGAAGTGCGGGTGCCGCGAGGTTAGCGCGCTCCTGAAGTTTCCCTCTGAACTGCTACTGCGGAAGTGAAATCATCGTACCCAGAACCGTGCCTACATAGTTCTATGGCTGAATATGTCAGGGTTAGGATAAGGCATGGTTCTGGATAGTCTCCGTAAATCCAAGAACGCTGATTTGCCCCAGGCACGGTTCTGGATACGCGTGGACTATCTTGAACCGTACATGAGCATTTGTCTGGGTAAAACGCTGGATACAAACATGCCGGGTTGGAAATGGATTCGTCTGTTGATCTATTTCCTATTAAAACTAACGGGTAACCCTTGTCAACTATGTAAATACAGACACTGGCGACTGTCAGACAATGTTCTACGATCTCCCACGAAATGCTCCCAACATCTGCTTGGAGTTTAGTAGTGAAGCCCGGAAGCCCCAACTAAACTGCTGCGGATATAACCCAGCTGGCGAGCAAACATGACCCGCACAGGAACAGTCTTGTACTCGTGTCACTAATCTCCAAGCAGATCCTGTATTTGGTGGCTATGTAACAGTGCAGGGGGGTTTGAATAATCTCCAAGCAGATCTTTTGGTGGAGAAAAAAGATAGTATCCAACACGCGGACAGTATCCAGCCGGCCACCGAAGATGGATGGGCCGGCTGTCAGAAAAAAAGGTCACAATCTTCCCATTCAACCTCTGCTTGGAGAGTAGGTTTAAAGGCGCTACCAACTGACCTTTTAGCCGAATGGTTAGAGCGTCAAGCGTCAGGGTTGTGAGCTGGTGCCCGGGTTTGGCGTGGGTTCGATCCCCGACCCGGGGCCAGGAGTGTCTTTCTGTTTCTACTCTCCTAATTCTTTACAGCTACAAGACAGTATCAAATAGGCAAGACAGTAACCAAGACGCCACCGTTTGCCTGGAGAAAATAAGGTACTGGAAACTAAAAGAAAGCCCGACAAAAACACCTGAAGCCTAAAGCTCTGCAGAGCAACATGACATGCACAGGAAACTGTGTTTATTTTGCACCCAACTGTCTAGTATTAGGATAGTTTCTTCTTATCTCCAAGCAGATACGGGGCACAGCTTCTATAGATGAGGTGAAGAGACCCAGAAAGCATACATGCCGCAAAACACGCACCTTACATCTGCTTGGAGTTCAGTGCGAGTTCGCAATAAATCAAGTGTAACAAAAGGAAACGGGTTCTTTGTGTCGTTTCACACCTGGATACATCAATCAACGCACCTGTCTGATCACTTTCCGTTTCACCACACCTGTCACAACACTTTCCTTTTCATTTCATCACACTAGATAGTAGATCACTTTCCGTTTCATTACACCTGTCATAACTTTCCATTTAACAGCATTTCATTTTCACCACACCTGTCACAACACTTTCACTTTCAAAACACCTGTCACAACACTTTCCCGTTCACCCACCTGCCGTCTGCACTTTCTCCCCCAGATCGGCCCGTCCCAAGTCAGTCAGGAGGTCTGTAAGATACTGCAGATTGCCCCTCCCGAAGTGTCCTTCCTTCTCTAACTTCTTGAAGATGTCTTGGGCCAAGTCTTCGTCCGAGACGGGATCTTGAAGTTCTAAAGAAGACACCCTCTTCTTCAAGGCTTTCGTTTCCTTCCATTCCAAGGAGTGCGCGACGTCTGTGTACAGAGCGTCTAAGAAGTCCGAATCGTCTTCCATGTTTCAGCCGCCAGCAACATGGCTCCTCAAAACAGGAAGGGCACGTCTCAGAACACCGATAACGTCTGCTACCGACATCTCCTCAAAACAGGAAGGGCACGTCTCAGAACACCGATAACGTCTGCTACCAACATCTCCTCAATACAGGAAGGGCACGTCTCAGAGTACCGATAACGTCTGCTACCGACATCTCCTCAAAACAGGAAGGGCACGTCTCAGAACACCGATAAAATCTGCTATAAAAATCTCCTCAAAACAGGAAGGGATCGTCTCAGAGTACCGTTAATTACTGCTACCGAGATCTCCACAAAACAGGACACGTCTCAGAGTACCGATAAAATCTGCTATAAAAATCTCCTCAAAACAGGAAGGGCACGTTTCAGAGTACCGATAACTACTGCTACCAACATCTCTTCATAAATAGGAAGGGCACGTTTCAAAGAACCAACAATTACCGCTACCAACCTTTCCTCAAAACAGGGCGGGCTCACCTCAAATAAGTAACAACTGTTATTAACAATTATCCTATCTTATAATATAATCTTTGCTGTCTTTACACGCCGCAAGGGGTCACTGCTAGACAGTGTACTTGTTAGTTGTTTCTACACCGTGCGGAAGCGACCCCCAGCGGTCCACATCCAACGTGCAGCCCTCAATACCGTTCACTACTTGCTCTGTGCTCCGTATGTACTCGTTTAATTCTGCGAGTTTTGAGGTAAAAACTAGCGGCTATTGGACTGAGATAGGGGACAGTAATGGCGGCTGTTTGGATGAAGGTGACTTTGACGCGTGACGAGGCGATAGGACTGTTCTAGAAGCGGACAAAGTTTGAAGGGGGAGGGGGGCAACAGAGTTCCTGTCTTGTTGAATTTTTAGGATGACAACAGATACAGTATACACCATCCTTCTTTCCCTCCAACATACCGCTATGCACATTATTACTTTGCGTATCTTGTACAAAATATATGAAGCTAAGGTGACTGATTGATTAAAACTGGTTTATTCATTTGTTTTGCAGCCAACTGGCTGAATTGCACAATATTCATTGGCAGAACATTCGGTTGGATGGACAAAATAAAACACTTGTACATGTATCTCAAAGATGACAACACTTGCTTCTAGATCAAAATATGAAGACCCTCATATATAGAGAACAATACGAGACTAGAGATACTACTGCATGTATGACTCACAGATGGTTGGTCAAACTTGTTAAGGTATGTTATACAGGTCTGGGCCTGTTCCTAAAATCCTGGACTGAACCTGTACCAAAAATGACAGCTGCTCCTTAGCTACATGTATAACTTAACATTGTTGAACTTAATTCCAACACAAGTGTTTCACAGAGATCAAATTTTCAATGAACACTGTCGCATAATGAACACAGGATAATTAATTGCCAATCACTTTAACGAACAGTAATATCTTACTATGATAACTACCAACACAGATGAACTTTCATGATAACTTAAACATGATAGACCAGACTTGTTTACGTTTATGCTAACGTCCTAAACCCATGTACCTGTACCTAAAGTTTGGTTAGCCACACATTTCTACTCAGTTCAGAACGATGTCCCACTCCGCTACCTCCCGCACTCTGTACCGGGTGCCGCCGACGGTGTAGTTCTCCTCCGCGCCGCTAGGTGGCCTGGGCGTGGTGAGCTGGCTGGGGTTGTCCGACCCACAGAACTTACCTGCAAAGACAAAGTTGACCATTTCGTAATGATATATCCTTGCTATAACGAACAAAGGAAGAAAACTAATGATATCATGTCAGAATAGGATAACGCTATCTGGGACAAGTAGAGAAATTTTCAACATGCTGTTATCATGCCCCGACTCTGTCTCTGTATTCTATAGGTCAATATGTACATAATGCTATACAAAAGAGAAACCATGTCACAGCAATGTGAAATGTAGCATTCCATTATAACATATATACATGTATTGAAGTACAGTAGTAGAAATAGTTTAAAGTTATTAAGTGTTATTTGCCATACATTGTAGCCTATGCAATTGTTGTGCAATAAACTGGACTTGAACTTACACGGGTCGCGCTCGCCCAGGCTGGCGTTACCGGAGAAGTACAGCTGGGTAACCAGGGGCCGCCTGCGCCGCGCGCTCACCCTGAAACAAATGAAGAAAAAAATAAACGGATGGATGGATGGACCGATGGATGGATGGATGGATGGATGGATGCAAGGATGGATGGATGGATGGACCGATGGATGGATGGATAGGATGGATGGATGGACCGATGGATGGATGGATGGATGGACCGATGGATGGATGGATGGATGCAAGGATGGATGGATGGATGGACGGATGGATGAATGGATGGATAGATGGATGAGAGTGAGTGAATGAATGAATGGGTGAATAGATGAGTGAATTAATGGATGTTGTAAAAACAGATTAAACCTTTGAGGTATCATGTTGGATAAATGACTGAATAAATGAATAAATGGATGGACGAACGGATGGATGGATGGGTGCATGGATGGAAGGATGAACGAACAAGCCGACCGTCCCTACCTGAAGTGCACATGTACGGGCCTGGCGTGCCACCAGCCGGACCCGTACTGCCCCGGCATGACGGTCAGGAAGCTGTACCGACCCCGGGCGTCCGTCCGCACCTTCCCGCGGCAGAAATTCGGCCGCTGCGGGTTGATCTTGTAGCTGAGAAGGGGGGTAGATTTGGGGAGGGGGGTGTAAAAAATGGGGTAGGGGTGTTGAAGAATAGTTAGAGAAAACACAATGCTTGAGACGACAAAAATACAAACAAGCAAGCAAACAACCAAGAACAAAATTTCTAAGTCCCTGTCTCAGGTCGTTCGAACTCACCATCCGGTCGGGTCGGCCTGCCACACCTCCAGCGTTGCCTTGGCAACCGGGGAACACCTGGTGTCTCTCACCTGGTGAAGGAGGGGGACAGGAGTGAGCATGAATGGGATGATCTTTCTATGCCTACGGCCTGAAAACGCTATCACAACTACCTTTACTTTCTAATACTGGTACAATCATGTACCACTGTTGTTACTATAGGTACCATGTACCACTGTTGCTACTATAGGTACCTGTACCACTGCTGTTACTATAGGTACATGTACCACTACCACTGTTGTTACTATAGGTGTATGTATGGTACACCACATGATGGTACTATACATGTACTATATAGATACACATGTACCACTGTTGGTACTATAGGTATGTTTACCACTGTTGGTACTGGTACAACCATAGACTGACCGTTCCGGTGACCAGTAGATAGGGCCCTCCGCGGCACACCACATGCTGATGCTTCACTCCCGGCAGGTAGTACGGGCCCTGCACGTCACGGGGCGTGGGGGTGCAGCCTGTTGCCATGGAAACGTAAACAAATAAGCACGTAAACAGGATGAAGCTATTCATGGTAGGTGATATTAAGGCCACACCAATTTAATTTGTTGGTTCTCGGATTCGCCTCTTCGTTTTTTTCTGATTTGCAAAAAAAAAATTGATTCTGGTCCTGAATCAACTGAAAAATGCTCATGTTTTGCCCCCCAACAGTTGAGGAAAGTCCTTTTCTTCCTACTTGTTACAGTTTTCCCATCTATCATTGCAGTGGTTTGATTAAAAGTTCAAAATTCAATGTTTAAATTTTAACCCAGCCTTTTGTGTTGACTTCATGGCTCATTTTGTAGCATTTAAGCCTATAATAGGATGCCTAGACCTGTTTTTTTATAATTTTTTTTCGCCCTGTCGCTTCATATTTTTTCTGAAAAAATCCGAGAACCAACAAATTAAAATTGGTGTGGCCTAAGGAAGGTTTAGGCTAAGGAGTGTTTGGTTGCACACACACACACACACACATACACACACACACAAACACACACACACACACACACACACACGCACACACACACACACACACAAACCCTATACAAACCGAGTACTTCCGTGCTGACGGTCCCCTCGGCCTGCCCTCCGCCCCCTTGCCGGCCCGGACCTGTCGTCATGGCAACGGTCGTCACGGCAACGGTCGTGTTGGAGCCTACTCGACACAGTAACTTTTAATTTCAGTCCAATTACTGTAATAAATACGATATGGTTCAAGCATCTTGGTAAAGGCATCCAATGCGATTTCAGGGCAGCAAAACTGGAAATATTCTGAATAAGGCAATCTTTATGATATTGACACATACTGCTTCACTTTAGCAATTTAAATCAGCATTTCATACTTTGGGCATTTAAAACTGCAGAAACAAGCCCAAAGATGAGTCCTTTATTTTCTGAGTGGTACTCTAAAATCAGACCAGGGCCCTTACAGTAACCATTTTCCGTCAGAATGTTTGCTCCATGAGGGCTCAATAGACATTGGGATAGTGTTGTTTCAACTCACTATGTAAATAAATGACTAGAATACTTTAGTATTAGCTTCGAAAAATCGGGTTTCCAAGCCCTAAAAACTGCACTGGATGCCTGAACAGTCTGAACAGTTCTAGTTAGGAGTGTCGGGTAACTTTCCACATTTGCACAATTATCTATCTTGTAAAGATGCCCTTTGACAGATATTTAATTCCCAGTCCAGTGCAGACATGGCTCGCCTGCAAAACGTCTTCAGCTACCTTCTTAAGTAACCAGGACAAGGAGCTTGTCTCCAGACGTCTCTCTAGGGCCGCTTAGACATTTCTTTGATAATCAGTAAAGAACCGACTCCGTTGCCTTAAGGGTGCAAACTTGAAACAGAAGTCAGAGTTAAGATTCCTGGAGCTAAGGACCATTAGGCCACACTGACTTAATTTTATGGATGACATCCTCTGAAGACCCCCAAACTAGTGCGCGCGGACGAATAAAAAAAATTCCGGCCCCCCAAAAAATGCTGCCAAACCACAGGAATACAAAGCTGGTGTTGTGAATTTACGGTAGAACATACTTATTAGCGACTTTGACGACATGTCGACAAGCCGGCACATGCTGGGCTTTTCCGGCATTTATGAGTCCTGAGTTCTAGAGTTCCGTGGAGCCAGGGTAAAATCAATGCGCGCGTGGCTGTCACCCATAAAATTAACTCAGTGTGGCCTTATAAGGGTGCAAACTTGAAACAGAAGTCAGGAGTAAGACTCCTGGAGCTGTTAACCATTACGGGGTGGCCTGGTCGGGTCTTAGCCTCCACCGGGCCTTCCTACGGAGGTCCGGATCCTAGATTTCGGTAAGAAAGGGAAATAGTCGGCCAGGAGAGTCAGTCCGAAAGAGGGCTGAAGTGGCAAATAAACTCTACGGTGGCGAAACTCCTAGTCTCCACCAGACCTCTTTTTGTGGGCTGAATAAATCGTAGAAATCGACCTAAAAAGGGTATTAATTGGCGAGAGAAGGTTGCCGACCAGAGAGGGTCCAATTAGCCCGCTAAAGAAGTCTGGTGGAGACTACTAAACTCCTGTCAACTATTCTCCCTTTTGGCTAAATTTTTCTTCTTTTTTTTTTTAGACACTAGTTGTGTCTGTCGGGCCGCCACCAGCAGCTGGGATGTGTTAGGGTCTGATGGAGGCTCGTGTTTAGTCTGCTAGTGTTCGGGTCGGACAACACGGGCAGCCGATTAGTCAACCAGGAAATAATAACCGCCAACGTGCCGGAACGTGCAGGGGCGGGGAGGTAAGAGCAGGTAAAATCTCAACACAAGCCTGTTCCCCGCGGCACGACTTTGATCTCAACAGAAATCTGTGGTGTAAGTAAAGTTTATGAAAGATATTTGCTTGAAAGTCAGTCAGAACTGTTAAACGTCGATTTGTGTCACTTAAGGTTAGGATTTGAACATGGGAAACCACCACACATTCCTGGCATCGCGATCGGGACCTCTGTCGACAGAGACTCCGATCGGGATTTCTACTACATTCCAATCTGTACCCTGACATAGCCTCTACCAGGCTTCGGCTGGAAAGAGAATATATTGGCCAAATAAAGAGATAACATGCCGGGGGAGTTGGTCTGCTGGAAAGTACATTTTGCCGCACAAGCGTACTCTCCAGCGGACCAACTCCCCCGGCATGTTATCTCTCTATTTAATAGCTACTCTTTCCAGCCGCCTCCCGAAGCCTGGCAGAGGCTACCTTAACACATACATACATATCAATACAATAATAAACTAAAACTTGATCGGAACTGCCTGAAGACAGCGGAAGTTGTAGCATGTCTGACCTGTTTGAGCTGAGACGTCTTGAAGACGGAAGGAGCCGGCGATAAGGAGGAAGCTAAGAAGCGCGAACATGTCTGCAGCTGAGACCGGCCGGTAAGACGTCTGGGAAGGAACTCAGGGACTTAAGAAACCCCGCGGAGGCCCCCCCGTTACTTCGGGGAGTCTCAAGGAGCCGGTTGGCCGGTCTCCAAGACTGCGGGGTCCTTAAAGTTTGATGAGATTAACAAGGAAGGTTAACCGGCATCTGGGACGTCTTAACCTCACTTAACTCTGCAGCGGCGCGGAATTAGGCTGGAACACACGCCGTGGGCTGCTGCAAAGAATAGTAGAAATTTGCCGATCCCAAAATCCCACAGAGAAATGTAACACTGTATGTTTACAAGAATTAAACCCATTCAGTACTTAAAGATGATGAAATGACTTGGAAACAGGAATGGGGCTGGACAATCGTCTTCAATCACGGGACAACAAATCAACGCGGAGTTTTGATATCATTTAAAGAAAATATCAACTTTACCATCAATTATTCTATGAAAGATGATGATGGGCGATTCTTGATACTAGACCTATCTGTAAATGATCTGCATTTTTGTATTTGTAATCTGTATGCACCAAACACAGATGACCCTAATTTTTTTGATAACATAGAAAAAAAATTGATAGTTAACCTGAAATTAAATCACAGTAATTTTATTATCGTTGGAGACTTCAACACGGTACAGAATGCGACTTTGGATAGAGCCGGACAAAACCCAGTAATATACCACCCAAATGCACAACGAAAAATAAACGAACTGATGTTTGCTTTAGACTTGGTAGATATTTGACTTGGTGGAGGTTTACTTGGCGAAGAGGAAGGCAAGCGAGCCGTCTGGATTATTTCTTAATATCTTTTTCACTTCTGGTGGATATTTCAAATATAAAAATTTTAGACAGACTCAAATCCGATCATAAATTTATTTCACTTGATATTCAAAACATAAGGCGCACGCGTGGAAAAAATTACTGGAAGTTGAATCAAACACTATTAAAGAAAATGAACTTTCGGAAGAAAACTGAAAAATTTATAGGAGTTTTTTCGATTTAATGTAGGCACGACTGACCCGTTAACGGTTTGGGACGCCTTCAAGTGTTGTTTTAGATGACATTGCATCAAATTTGCCTCTGCGAAACGAAAAGCTTTTATCTCAAAAGAAAATGATCTTCAAAAACGGATAGACCAGCTAACCGTGATAATAGATGAGACTGATTTGCCGTCACAATCTGTTCTTGACGAACTTAGTGTACTGCAGAGTGAATTAGAAGAATTATATGAACAGAAAACGGACCAGCTGGTATATAAACAAAGAGCTGATTGGATGGAATTTGCCGACAGGTGTACCAAACAATTCCCTGATCTTGGTCGACGAAATTGTTGTAAGAAAAATGTTATGAATTTAAATACATCTGACGGGGAAAATATTTAGGAGCCCTCGCGTGTTATGGAAGAAATTAGAACTTTTTTTTATCATTCTCTTTACTCATTTAAAAACCCTCCTGAAGATCTTGATGATACAAATTCTGATCTCTTCTGGATAATTATGTTCTTTTAAATACTGAACAAAAAAATTCCCGTGAAGGACTAATTACAGAAAGGGAGCTGTGGGAAGCGATTAGTAGTTTTAAAGATGGCAAAGGCCCAGGTCTGGATGGGATCCCGATTGAAGTATATAATTTTTTTTTCATCCCATGTTACACTGTTTTAATTACGCATATGAAAATGGTAATTTGTCAGAATCACAGAGGGAAGGACTAATCACTCTTCTATTAAAACAAGATGGCGACGGTCAGTATAAGGACCCGACAATACTTAACAACTGGAGACCCCCTATCGCTGTTGTGTTATGATGTACACATTCTATCAAAAGTAATCTCACTCAGGATGAAAAAGGTTATTGGGAGTCTAATAAATAAAGATCAAAGTGGATTCTTACAAAATAGATTTATTGGCGAAAACATCTCCCAAATTCTTGAATTTTTCAATACTATGAAAATGAAAGATTACCAGGTATGATTTTCATAGCGGATTTTGAAAAGGCTTTTGATAAGCTTCGATGGGATTTCATGTTTAAGACTTTAGATTTTTATGGTTTTGGAAAATCATTTATTAGCTGTTCTCTATAAAGACATTACAAGTAGAGTGATAAACTATGGTTATATTTCAGCCCCTCTTTCCCTATTGCGTGGAGTTCGTCAAGGTTGCCCGCTTTCGCCGTACCTCTTTATATTATGTGTCGAACTCCTGGCCACGAAAATTAGATCAAACAACACAATAGAGGGATTAACGATGCATGGAGTTGAAATTAAGGTATCCCAATTTGCAGACGACTCAAATTTTCCATTGCAGCCGACATTACCATCTATCTTTGCCCTAACAAATGACTTTAAAATTATTCAAAAATTTCTGGATTGGAACCAAACTNGAAAATTGTGTATAACTTGTATGAATATGGTGGACTTAAACTTATTAATTTAGAAGCTTTTGATTTATCGCTTAAGGCAGCATGGATACCTAGATTATATTTAAACGACAAGTGGTTCTGTAGAGAGTTGTTGAATTATAATTTACTCTTTAGCTATAGTATTTTCCCATTCATCCAACTTACTGAAGCTCATTTTCATAATGTTATCCCTAGACATGCTTTTCTGAGTACTTTTTTTGAAGAGGTAATGTTAGCTTGGCTGAAGGCTCAGCACAAACCTCCTGATAACAGATGTGATGTACTGAGACAATTGCTGTGGTTTAATTCAAATATACTTATTAATGGTTTACCCTTTTTTGGAAGACCTTCAGCCAAAGGAAAATACTCTTTATTAATGACTTATTGGACATGGATGGATATTTTTTATCATATAAAGCTTTCACTGAGAAATATGGAAGATTCTGTAATGAGCTTATGTATTTACAGTTGTTATCAAGTATTCCTCAGGAATGGAAACAGATGATTTATGGTAATCAACATTGTGTAACTGTTCTTATGCCTGGTATAAGATATTCAAAGTGGT